CTGGGCCCAAACCCAACTGTGAACTATAAAAATGTCAGGGACTTTAGACAACTGTACACAATATTGAATATGTCAGTGCCAAAAGTTAAATGTAGAGGTCACCCGGGTAACCGAGCAGTGAGAGGCAGATCACTGAAAGCTCAGCTCACAGCCTGGGAAAAGGTTCCGATGCATCTGTTTTAGGAAGGTCACTGGCCTCAGAGTTGATGACAGATTAGTTTCAAAGCTCAGTTAAAATGCACTCATTAGCCTCTTTGCCATGCTGTTTGTCAGGAGGGGGAAGCAGAGGGGAGGGCAGGCAGCTTGCATGTTTGTTATGCTTCAAGGCCGAATTTAATCAGATGTGCACAACTTTGTCCATAGAAATCACTGGTCATTACAGCCTGAGACAAAGTTCTGTTCCTGGAGGATCTTCAGGATTTATTGTGAGATTACGTATGACAGTCGCCCACAGCCTCACAAAGGCTCTCCTGTTCCACACCACGCCTTACATTACCTACTTCAGTGTTTTTCTAGCTCTTTTTGTTGTTTTTTGGACTTGATCAAGGGGACTCGAACAGTTTTTTACCCTGTTCACCCAGTATAAATATCAGTCATTCCAGGTCAGTCTGGAAAGCGTTGCCTTCAGGTCAAGTATAGCTTGGATTCGATGCACTGTAAATTCGCTCCACAGTGTCCTTTAGGCATTTTAAGGAACTCATTTTCTAACTGTACAGAGTCTACCAATTAAACATGGTAAGGCAGGCTCCCATGGAACTGTGTAGTTATTTTTTTAAGCAGTGTAATAGTTAGTCACTGTGTTACTGCATAGAGTTGTTGTTTCTCCAGCAAGGAGAGGGTTAAAACAGTGCACGGCTGTGTCCAAGCATGAAATCATGCTTTTCAACATGAGCAGTAAACATAAGTTGAGGTCTTTATGTTAATTGACTTTTACAACTATGAACAGCGCTTAGTAAACACTTGATTAATTCAAAGCACAGACGGGGATTGATTGAAAGTTCACACTCAACATTCCCGAAGGCCAGTCACAGAATAATTATGCAACATCTGTGCGGTGAGCTGGACTCCCATGTGTTGGAGCATTCACTGGCTGCAATGAATTACTTAGTGAATTTCATACAATAATTTGTACTCTAACGCAGTGGTGTACACGAGGTGATATGGTGAAGTCTTATACGGAGGTAATACGATCAGTTCTCTTGTCTGATTGTGTACCCAAGGTTCACCAGTCTAGCTTGGCATGTGGTGGTAGTTGATAAAATCTGATGTATTGCGTAACATTACAGTTGCAGAGCAGCAAACGCTTTTAGTTGAAAGTCTCAACGTTTACCCACAAAATGTGGCTACATCTGGGAATCCCACTTCCTGACTGAGCTGCCGCTGCTGTCTGTCAGTTTCCCTCCTGTGGGCGGGTGAGTCCTTCCCAGAACAGTTAGCATTTTAGTGGCTCTCACGCCCCACATTTTGTAACGAGCTATATTTTTGAAGAAGAAAATCTTTTGTTGAGCTATGCCACACTCTGTGCCCAGACACAGATATTGAGCATTATCGAGGGCAAAGTGGGGTCAGTATGGTGTGGATTACGGGGCAGGCCACTGGACAACAACAGTTTGCACTTATATAGCTCTTTTCATGTTGGAAGAATATCTCAAAGTGCTTTACAAGGCCTGACTGGTAGCCTGAGCTGGGAGAGAGAGGAGGGGCAGGAAGAAAGTGGCTGAAGGTGCAGTCAGATAGGATTTTAGGCTAGGTTTAAAAGCAGAGAGGGTGGGGGTGAGGTAGTGGGATTTTGGAAGAAAGTCCCAGAGGGCAGGGTCAAAGTGGAAGAAAGCATCCTCGCTGATGGTGGGGTTGAGCAGGCAGGGACAGGAACCAGGCCAGAATGAGCAGAGTGCAGGGGAGTTGGAGTAGAGGGAATGGCTGAGGTTGAGTGAGACAAGAACATGGGGTATTTGAAAGTAAGGACAAGGAAATTAAAGTTGATCCACTGGGAGATAGGGAGCCAATGTAGATGGGGTGATGTGTTCACGGAGCCTGGTGTGGTAGAGTATGCAGGCAGAGTTTTGGATGATCCGGAGCTGGGAGATGATACGAAGTGTAGAGCTGGGCAGGCTGTTATGTGGGTCATTGGACATGATTCTTGTACACACATGTCTTTTTTTTTAATAAATCCTGTGCATGTTTCTGCCCGTCTTCTCATCCTCCTCTACTTTTGACTATTTTACCTTTTACCTTTTATTAGGTTATAGTTTGATGGGTGTTTTCTGGTGACTTTCCTAAGTTTTAATTTTTTTGTGGGCTACATTTCCAATGAGTGTCAGACTATTTGACCACATGTTTTACCCAATGTCAACATACAATCTGCGTCTTAGGGTAGTGAATAAGAACAGAGATTCTGGCTGCAATCTCTCCTTTTCAGAGATCCAAGTCAATTAAGCCAAAAAGGCACAGTTCATTCTGCGAGTCAAGTTTCACACCAGAGCAGTGGTTTAACCATCAAGGATCCAACATCTGGTTAGTCACTAGTCTGACTGAGACACCAGCACAGGACAAAGGCAGACTGTTTCTCCTTCATAGTCTCAGCAGTATATTAACTGTATATTCAACTTCATCAAACAAGCTTTGGTTATTATTAACCCGAGTGGGTTTTGTGGCAAATTCAAATTTCTGGATTTTTTGCATCCATATGTTTATCAGTAATAAAGAAAAATGTTGAGAATAGATGTGCTTGTACTGTGTGCCTACTGTCGAGCGTGTCGGTCACTGGTTGTGCCTGTACTTTGTATTAATTGCTAAGTATGCCTGTACTGTGTGCCTATTGCTAGGTGTGCCTGTACTGTGTGCCATTTGTTAGTGCCGTTCACTAGGTCTGTCTGTACTGTGCATCTATCGTTGGGTGCCTTTGTACTGTGTGTCGTCACTGGAGGTACCTGTGTGTCAGTGAGGGTGTCCACTCTGTGTGTGTGTGTGTGTGTGTGTGTGTGTGTGTCACTAGGTATATTGTGTGCATGTCACTGGCTACACGTACATACCATATGTTTATCAGTGTGTGTGTGGACTGTGTGCCTGTCACTGGGTCTGTGAGTGTGTACCTCTCACTGGATGTGTTTATGTGTTGTGTACCTATTGTGAGCTGCAGGTCAGATCTTTTCTAGTTGTGTATTTTTTGCTGCAAATATTGATTCTGTCAAATTGCTTCACTTGAGCTGTGGTTTATTCAGCGAGCAGGAAATGGGTGCCAGCAGAAAGCATGTGACAATGCTATAGGCGTAGATCAGAGGCCCAGTTTGGCCTTATCTTGACAATCTATCACAATACACAAAGGTGTTTATTACAGTGACACAGATTACAATCCATCACAATACACAGAGGATTACAGTGACAAAGGTCTTTTATTTTTCACGAGATTTCCTTTGTAAGTACAAGAGTCCTGTAGCTCAGTGGTTAGAGCACTTAACTCGCAAGCGAGAGACCTAGGATTGATTCCCGGCAGGGTGAAACCTTGGGCAAGGTTCCTTGCTCCATATGCCTGATAATAATCCCTCAAGAAGAAAAATCAATAATAATTTGGTCACAAATAGGCTGCTGCAGGTCTCCACAAATACAGTCACTTGACAGCAGTTACCTGTGAAGAACTTTGATGTTTTGATGTTAAACCACAATATTTAATGCAAGGATTATTATTTTACTTGACTCAAGTTAACTTATTGTTGGTGATTTTAATGATTTTTGATAACTGGAACTTTCTGGTCTGTGACACTGCTATGTTGAATGAAAAAATCTGCTTTCCCTGTTTTATGGATTCTCCCCCACCACCTACCATCATGTGGAACTCTGGAGAAAATGGGTTCATGTTGCTCCTGCTTTGAGCTACTTGACAGCTTAAGCAGAGCAGTAGTGGAGCTGGGATGGGGGTGGTGGGGGGGAATTATCCAGTATTCTAGTCCCTCATTCAGCGACCCTGACTGGTGATGGGGGGAATTGGGCTGCGATGTCCCCCTACGATCACACAGCCTTAGAATTCATGGATAGAACATTGATGTGTATGAGGAGCTGAACTGCCATAACCTGTGAAGCTACGCAGCCATTTCTCCCCACACCCCCGTGGATGCGAGTGTGTGTATGTATATGAGTCAACGCCTTCAGGACAAAATAGGAAAAGTAAACACTTCAAAGCAGCTGAGTGCTGCAGAATGGGAGGATTAAGAATGTGTTTTTTACGTGGATTAGAAACTACTTCAGAGCAAACATTGGTTGCAAATGTTTCCATTGAAAACTTGTCGATCTTAGATGAAGTGCCGCACCCAGTGGCTCATGGACACCTCCCATTCTGCCAGTATCCTGATTATTGCTTTTGTTAAGGTGCTGTCTGCAGGATGCCTGGGGTGCTCTCAGCACATCACACATTCTTTGCACTTTCCTTGGAACTGTACAGAAACAAGGGAACAACATTCAGTGCTGTGTTCATGCTGATTGATTTGCCTCCAAGCATACAGAATAAATTGGGCTGTAACTAGAATTGCCCTGGGGCCCCGCTCCCTGAGATGGCATAGGTAGCAGTGTGATTGGCACTTTCTACAGTATAAACACAGCGAATATGAATTACCTTGGGCTGTTCCTTGAACTGCCCCAAGAACTTTCAACCTTCTAAAAAAGCTGAGTCTATAACTGGCTCTTTACAACAGGAAAGAACTTACATGATTTCCACATGGGGACATTTACTGCCAGATCCATCCACAAATGTTTGTGGGATACTTGGATGCTGCTTTTTACTCATAAAATATGCAGTCTTTACAGTATATTATGTGAAGCACTTTGAAATGTCTCATGATAAGGCGCTATATCAAATACAAGGATTATTATTATTGTCTGTTGAACACTGTTGAAGAGCTGGGTACATTCACACTGACTGCTAGACTCATCATAACAGAGGCTGTTTATGCTACTGAAATGATCGTGGGTGTGTCACAATATGCAGCTTAGTCTGCTTTTTATTTCAGGTCAAAGTGGTCAATCAAATCCATCCATAGAAGGAACAGATCCTGGACTCCAACCAATCCAAGTTAGGAGTTTGTTCAGTGCAGGGAGCAGCCAACTCCTGCCCAGCCTGCCATTGGGATCAAACATCGCAGATGTCAGCACAGGAAGACCAACCTTTGACCTTTCCAAGTCGAGCAACTGTTTTGAGTCCTTGGCCCCTGGTACTGACCTCCTGCCATATGTTTAAGGTTTACTATTTAGAGTGTGGAGCTGGAACAATTGGACAGAGCAGGCCCAGTGGTCACTGATGTTCTGGAATTTAATTATTCCCACATGGATGTCTTTGATTTTGACATGTCTGTTGTACGAAAGGAAAGGTATGAGCCCACTTACACTGCAAAGGATGTCAAGCGATGAAATGTGGTGGGAGGGTTAGTGTGCCAAACATTCAGTTGCAGCCTCCCTCAGCCATGCTGACTTTAGCTATGTCCCGTTAATTGTGCAGTCCTGTAGCTTAGTGGTTAGAGCACTCGATTGGCAGATTGCTTTTCTGGGCATAGTCCTTAACAAAAATAATAATAATTTGGTCACTCAATCCACGACTATTTGTGGGACGCTGTTGTGTGTAATTGGCTGTCGCATTTCGCCCACAAAATATGCAGTCAACTCACTTTACAGTATATTGTGTGAAGTGCTTTGAAATGTCTCGAAGACGTGAAAAGACGCTATATCAAATGCTAGGATTATTAGTATTTATTATTATTATTAATTGAAGGGCGTCTGTTGAGTCAGAGGTCAATGGGGTTGGCAGATCAGGTGCCACCACTGCATTGTAATAAGGATGTAGTACCTGAGGTTCTGCATCTCACACATTCATAATCTGGAACTGTGCCTCACGAGAGAAGGTGATAACTGGAATTTGTATGTTTAGTTTCCTGCTCCCTATGAGAAAAAGAGTAGTAAATGGCTGGTACAAAATGAGTAGGGCCAGATGCCTCTTTTATTTAGGCCCAGTAGTTCCTGTAGTGGAATAGAACATAGAACAGGATGTGTGATGTGCTACTGAACTATACATACTAAGAAGTTCTCAAATCCAAACCTTGCTCTGTTTGCTGAATTAGCAACTCAGGGTTTTTACTCACGGCTGCAGTACCGTGGTTTTCAGGTGTGGATATATAGTGAGGAAAGATTAGGTTGTCAACTCCATGTTTGAATCTCCTGCTCACACTCCATGCCTAAGATCACATGAAGAGGTACCTGAAAGTGACAACTGCCCACAGAACCATACTCCAGCATGAGGCAACAACCCTTCAGTTCATCACATTGGAATGGAAATGGAAGTTACTTTAGCTACTGTCAGCATTAAGACAGTATGGTCCATGCACAGCATTCATGCAGCACATTGTTAAATCATTGATGGGTTTGTATCAATAAATGAATTATTTTCATTCAGCGAGCAGCATGTTTATATGTGCAGTCTGAGGCCTGGCTGTTGCAGCACTTTACAAACCTAGACATCTCTCCAGCAAGAGATTAATGGATTGAAATCACACGTGAAGTTTACACCATTTTATTCTCCCTCTTATCTAGCTCAGGGACACTGAGGCTAAATTAGCACCCCAAATGCACCCGAGATCCGTTAATTCAACCCAGATGGAGGCTTTTCCCAGCCTCTTTGACTTAGTATTGGCCTGGGTTGTAAAGTGCTGCTATTATTAATACTGCTGGACTGAATGTTGCCATCACCTCTGAAGAGGTTCACTGGCGTATGCTGCATTCTGTTCCTCTTTATATGTAACTTCCACATATAGTATTTCTCACATTAAAAAAATCTCAAAATGCTTTACAAAGTAAGATGAAGTAGAAACTAATTTAAAATGTAGGCAAATGTCATCACACAAGCTTCAGAGTGAACTGATTCACACTTCTTCTACACAATAAATATCAATTCTGATTATTAAATAATTCTTGTATTTGTCGGACTAGTGACAGGCTCGTAAGTTGCTAAACTCCAGTTTTTTTGTTCACTGCAATGTTCCTGACAGCCTGTGTCTACTTCCAGAATATTTGCTATGTGTATTGTGCCTAGGACACACATAGCCCAGTTTCTCATTATGTATGCGGTTTTATTGACTGGCACTGTCCTAAAAAATTTTGAATGTAAAGAGGAGAGTTTTGGCACAAGTAAATATCAGCTCTTAATTTTTGCTCAATCCCACAGTGATAGGCATGTGAAGCAACTACCAGCACATGTGGTAAAACGAAGAAAGATTTGAAGAAAGGAAAGACATGATCTTGGAAATGAAAAGGATCCTGGAAGTTTAGATGATGAGATTGATGTGGTGGTGAAATCTTTATTGAATTTGAATGAGTGGTTTACTTCTTGGAATTGTTATTATTTAATGTTCACTCCTCCCAGTGCCAAGCAATACTATCTATTGTGAGTCTGAAAACCAGCAATGAGTGTGTATGGTTTTGTGGCCAAATTAGAAATGCCTTCTGATCACACATTCCACAGTGAAAGATTATCTCTCAGCAGCAGTAGGAAGTTCAAGAAATGCTTATCTTGTGAATAAGATCACAATGATTCACCCACAAGCTGATAGATCATATATGATTCGATATCAACATTTAAGAGAGAAGTAGATAATTATTTGGGGAGGATTATTTGGGCAGGGCTATAGGTAGAGAGCGGGGGAGTGGGATTGAATTGGATAGCTCTTTTCAAAGAGCCAGCACAGACATGATGGGCCGAATGGCATCCTTCTGTGCTGTATAATTCTATGACTCAAGCCTGAGAATTTCTGAGAATATCTTACATGTAAATCTGGAAATTAATCTATGTCAAGATTACTTCTGTATCTAAAATGAATCCAGAATGTTTGAGAATTTCTGTATTCATCTAAATCAGCATGTCTCTGTGTTTAAACTACCTTGGAGCAAACATGTCCAATGAATCTTGACCAGCCTGTATGGCTCATCAATGAGATCTAGAAGTGTAGATGTGTCAAGTACCATGTGAGCCAAAGGCCAATGGGTAGTATAAATCGTGGAGTCCTGTAGCTCAGTGATTAGAGCACTCGCTTTGCAAGCGAGAGACCTGAGTTCAATTCCAGGCAGGGCGAAACCTTGGGCAAGTTTCCTTACTCCACACAGAGCCTAATAATAATCCCTCCAAAACAAAAACAATAACAAAATTGGTCATTTTCAATCTACGACTGCTTGTGGGACATTGCTGTGCGCAATTAGCTGCCGCGTTCGCCCACAAATATACAGTCAATTCACTTTATAGTGTGTTCTGTGAAGCGCTTTGGGACGTCCTCCCGACGTGAAAAGCGCTATATCAAATGCAAGGATTATTATTATTATTAAATCCTAGGAAACAAACTTCTGGTATAGAGCATTGCTATTCTACTGAATGGTGAATTGTGTGGCACCAGTTGTTGACATAAGTGAAATGACACATGATTGGGGCTGTGATAGCCACGCACCAAATTTACATGAGCGAGAGCAGCAATACGCCCAGACTACACAAGATTAATCATCGTTATTCAGTACGTTGAAGAATAGGTGGTCAAAAAACCTGGCCTGGTTGCAATCATCACACAGAAGCTCAATAAAAGTTGGTAGGAATGCAGCAAAGATTGGTTGGTAACATAGTGAGACATGGGCAATGCTGGGGGAATAGCAGTGAGATGCTGGCTCTTCTGATGATTGGTAACAATTTCCTGCAGTCTTGAGTTTGCTTGTTTCTGCTGACGGAAACTTCTGGTTTGCAGAATGTAAACAAACCTCCCACTTGGCACTGATAGGAATCAGGACGACTATAAAAATTTCCTCAGTCCCACAGGAATGCCTCTCACTCCAATCTGCTGCATGGTCAGAAAGATTCTTCTCAATGGAGTGTTTGTGTATTTTAGGCAAAATGCAGTCGACTCTTCAAAAAGAGAAGGGACACCGGGAGAAACTCCCTTCTCGTTTCAAATAGTACCATGGGATCCTTAAAAACAACAACAACCGCAACAAAATTACATGTGTCAAGTGCCTTTCACGTCGGGAGGACTTCCCACCCAAACAGGCAGATGGGACCTTGGGTTAACGTCTCATCCAAAGAACAGCTCCTCCAACAATTCCACAACCACCAGGACTACATAGACTATGTGAGTTCAAAATCCAAATGTGGGGTTTGAACTCACAACTTCTGATTCAGGGGCGAGAGTGCCACCAACTGAGCCAGTCTGAAAAAACAAAACATTACTTTAAGGTACACCAAGGCAGCAGAACAAGAAGGCTCAGGCTTAGGACAGACATTATTTGTTTACACAGAAGGGAACCAACAGTTGGGTCGATTGCCCAGGAGGGTTACAATAACAACAAGATTACATTTGTATAGCGCCTTTCACATCGGGAGGACGTCCCAAGGCGCTGGACAGAGTACAGCATTTCAGAGTTAGTTTTTCACAAAATAAAGCTGATTATGCTCTATATTCAATCTTCAGATCCAGTTTCCTGATTTTCTACCTTCCAGCTTTTCATGTCCACTAAGTCTCGTCAGTACAATTCATCCCAAGGCCTAAAGTTAAATTGGAGTGGACTGTTCGTTTAAATATTTCAAACCCTCTCTTGACCAGCATTTCAATTTAGTTTAACATGTTGATGCCAGCAGAGGGCTCCCTCCTGTCAGCTACACCACCAACCGATCAAAACCAGAGAGATGCACGTTTCCCAAAAGCGGACGGGGAAGGTGGGGGGAGGAAAGAGGAGAAATCTTGTGGAATGCAGTCGGGCTTCTTGTCATCATTGTTGTTGCTCTCCTCCCCTGCTATTCTCTGATCCTTTACACAAGGACTTTCACACTCTCTTTATTGTGATTCCTCTCCCACTGCCAACCCTCCCTCCCACCTAATGTTTTTAAACAAAATGTTGGTTTTTCACCAAAGTAAAGGTGAATGTGCTTGAAATGTCAAAAGGGGGTTGGTTCAGAAGATAACATGTTTAAAATACCCCCCCCCCCCCCCCCCACCGCCCCCAGCCTTCACCACCATCCCCTGCCTACCTACCCCCCAGTAGTGTTGAGTAGATGATGAAAACAAATATTTGGAGAGATTCACTATGGTAACAGTGTGGAGTTAGCAGCACTATTGTTTAACAGGAAGCTGACTTCTGCAGAACCAAATGCACTTCAAGTCCTCACTTGGGGAGGTTAGTGCTATGGTGAAGAAGTTCTGGGAAAATAGAAATGAATCAACTTGCAGTTTAAAGTAGATCATCAGGTGAAAGGTTCTGGGTACAGTGCCATAGATACCAAGCTGCCTCCAGTACCCTATCCACATGGCTCTTTATGATCTTGTCACCTAAGCATCATAGGGCTACTGATCCATTGGTGGCATAACAACCGAGCGTGATCCTGCCCTATCCCATTATCCACTTTCCAGCATGGGACTTTGGATGGTGATCAGAAGTAGAAGCCTTGGCAGATTTCACCTCCAGAACCCAACCTGATGCCAATTAAATTAAACTCAGCACCAGGGATCAAACCTTCAATCTTCCTGGTCTGTACAGCTCAGCAGCACAACACACAATACTTTTACTCACTGAGCTAAGATGAGAATCTGTAGGTGCTGGACATTAAACTCCCCATATATATGATGATAATAATAATCCTTGCATTTGATATAGCGCTTTTCACGTCTTCTCGACGTCTCAAAGCACTTCACAGAAATATGCTGTAAAGTGAATTGACTGTATATTTGTGGGCGAAACGAGGCAGCCAATTTGCACACAGCTGTGGATTGAATGACTAATTTATTATTTTTAAGAAAATTCAAAAATAAGGGAGACAGATTCAAAAGTAGGACCAAAATAGCAAATAGATGATGCAGGAGAAATGTCTTTAGTAAAAGAAAAACTTGCATGCTTGTTTCTCATAGTTGCCCTTTGTTATCCTCTGGTGCCTAACTCAAATGTCCTTCAATCATGTATGAGTGCAGTTGTGTTTTAGAAAGAGTTTGCATTTTTATTATACCTCAAATTGCTTTTAACTGTTAAGTGCAATGCCTGATTTTGCATTTACACACAATACAGCAAGGTCCCACAAACAGCCATGAGATAAATATTGTTGTTTTAAGAGCATTGCAGGCTAGGACATCAAGAGAAATGGAGATGAATGGCCAAATTATATTGTAATAAGCTTGATTGAGCTGCTAATTGTTACTTTGCCAGTGCGTTAGTGTTTTAGAAAGAGTTTGCATCAAAATACTTCAATATACTGTTTACTGATTATGAGTCAAAACGCTCCATTCATGAAAAGAGAAGGGAGTTTCTCCCAGTGTCCTGGCCAATAATCCTCCAGATAAAATTGATTATTCACTTTATGCCAGTTTGGGGGACATTGCTATGCACAAGTTGGTCATCAATGGCCTATTTCACAGAAACTGAAATGCAAGGATTATTAATAGTGTCATGGATTGAACATTTACCTGAATGAGGAGATGGGATTTCAATTTAAAGTCATCAGACGGATGACACCACAGAAAGTGCAGTGCCATTACTGTACTGGAATGTGTGCCTCTGTGCTACTGTCCTGTGAGCCCTGAACTCATAACTTTCCGACTCAGAGGCAAGAGTGTACCAACTGAGTTAGGCATCTTATGCTTTATAGCTGTACAGCTTGAAGATGAATAGACTTTTTTTGTAGATTTCTCCCTCATTTGATATAGATTTTTGGGGAGTATCAGGAATGGTGAGGGCAGCTAACAGCCTCTGGAGTTATTAGGTTAAAGAGCGAGTGTTTATTCAGCAGAGTAATGGTTATCCCGGAACACATTTGAGAGGGTGAACCACAAGCACGTTGAAGAGAGTGCTTAATACATTTGAGCGTATGACCTTCAAGAGTTTGATTGGAACCTCTAGGCTTTGATGGCCTTTATAATACTGTAATCTGCAACAGTCAGAGGTGGTGTCGGCCACTGCATTCGACAAAGGATGCATTGTGTTTAATTTTTTGATTAAAAGGTCGAGCAATCTGAGTTGTTAGTAAAAACATTTTTTTTAAAAAGGAGCAGGCAGCACAATCCAAACTGATGCATCAGAAAGTCTGTGTGTGTAACCCTTGGCGACGGGTGCTATGGTTGTACCTGTGAGACGACCGTCCCACCCCCTCCTCCCCCACTTCCTCAGCAAGCTCCAAAATGCAGCCTCGAAACAGATGCTTCCTGTTGTCATTCACATGCCGGGCTCTTAGCGAGTTAACTGAACAATAGAAAATGAAAGAAATTTAACCCCCATCAGCCTACTGCTCCAGTTGCCCAGTAACTGGCTGCCTGGTCAGATTTGAGACTATGTGGCTGTCTTGTTGGGAATTTGTGTAATTATGTAAAGGGAAAAGGCAGGAAACGTTTTCAATTTGTAGAAAAGTTTTGCGAATGGCTAATTCTACGAATGCGTCTTTTATTACATGACCTTTTCTTCCCCTTTCCCCGGTTCGTCCGAACTCCTTTGGAATGTGTTGCATCGAGCTAGGTTTATAAAGGAACCAAGACATCTTGAGTCTGTGACAGGAAGGCTCTGGTTTGTATAACATTTCCATTGAACTCATGAAATATCACTGTAAAGTAACTGCAGAGCACGCAGGCAGTCTGACAGCCATCGCCCGGCTCTGGTGTTATTCTTCATCCAAACCGATCTTGTGAATTGTTTACACAGAAACAGAAATTTAAAGCACACAAGGAGATGATTCA